ACAGGAAATCCTGTAAACTGGCATTTTCCACTACCACAAGAAATCCATTTAGTCTTCACGCTGCGCTTGTGACCTCCCTGCTGCCCTAGGGTGTTAGCCGCATGTGTCTCCCAGTTCGTGACAGTTGGACTTTATTCTGCCTATTAAAAAAATGCTTTGCTGCAAGAGCAAGGAACCGAAGGCCCCACCCACGTTTTGTTCTTCTCCGGGGCACGTAGACAGGAGCCCACCGGGTGCGTTGTTCGTTCTAGTAAAGCAGGTTAATTGTGCTGTGGGGTTTAATGATTGCCAATAGTCTGCCGCAGTGCGGCGGTAAGCCCCCCACATACACACACCCACACATTGTCTCAATCAGACTCTACTGGGACGATATTTGAGGGCTCACAGAGCGGATGTTGGGAGCAAACCATAATGCTTTGGCCCTTTTTTATTTACCGATTCCCATTGGGTCATTATTGAGGAAGGAGAGCATGGATGCAGAAAAGGGGTTTTCACTGTACTGATTCATGCCCACCAGGTTGGTCTGTGTGGTTAAGCCAGACAGAGATTGACCCTGACTGTGAAGCATTGTTGGTTTCCTCTGTGGAGGGCTGTAAATTTAAAGGACCATTTGCTAACTGCCCACTTAAGAAACCATACCACATAGTTTATACCAGTAATCTGTGACGGTTAAACCAAGATTTTCCCAGATGATTGTCATCATTATTTTTCCAGCCCTTTTCACAATGGAGACTTTCAAAGTGGTTGTGGGAGAAATTTGGGAAAAAATCTTTTCTTCAGTTAAGCACACATTAATTTCTCAGTATAACAATGTCCTCAAAATCATGTCATTCCTATTATATTACAGATCTGGTTAGCATCATCGTGAGGGTGAGGTTTAAATGCAGTCTTTTGGTCTGGGAACTGGCTTCTTTTCATTTATTTATTATAGGTTCATTTCAGCCTCCCACTCAGGAAAGAGTAAACCGTCAAAGAAGTCTCTTACAAGGACTTGAAATAGATGGCGACAGCATCGCAGGAGGAGATGTGTATGAGTAAAGAAAATGTCCTGAGCAGTCTCTGTAATGTACCTTAATGTGTTTGCTTTCATAACATTTCTCTTTACAGAGAGGCGAATCCTGAAGCTCTGCAGAACCTAATCTGATATGAACCTTGAGTCTGAAATCCAAGAACAGTGGTAATATGGGACACGTGCTGGCAGTGGCAGGCGGATGTAAATGGGGTGGCATTCGTGTGTGGTCGTCTTACTTCCCCTTTGTCTGCATACATCAGCTTCTGACCTTTTATTGAAAGGCAAGGTGAGGCGAGGGGAGGCAGGGAGAAATTACAGAAAGCTGTTTACCAAGCCACCATACCATTACATTACATCACATTTTTGTCATTTGGCAGACGCTCTTATTCAGAGCAACTTACACACTGCATCTAATGAAGTGGCATGAAGAGCTGCACAAACAGGACACCACTAACCACAAATGAACAAGTGTCAGTGCTAAACATATTGTTGAGATCACAAACATGTCCCTAGATTGACATGCAAGTGTCAACATCCACAGCTTGAGGACTATATCATTCCAATTATAATGCCACCACATACTACACACATGTAAGCAAACCTCCACATACCCAATTACATAAAATTCTGAAATATACTTCCACATATATAATTGCACACAAGAGATACAAAAGGTCACAGCTGGGTGGAGGGGTTGAGATGTAGCCTGAAGAGGTTGGTCAACGGTCTGGGATGAAGGATGGTGAGTGTTTCAGCTGTTCTGACTAAAACAGGAAGTTCATTCCTCCACATAGGGGCCAAGACAGACAGTGGGTGTGACCAGTGATTGCAGCCCCCTCCCACTCTATGTAAACTGTCAGAACATACATTGAACAAATGGTATTGGAAGTCCTACATAAGGGTGCACTTTAAAGATGTGATTCTCTTTGACCACAAGGGTTAGGGTAAGGCATGCAGGGCCGATGATCAAAAGAAGAACAGTCTTACATTCAGACCACAGGCAGCACCAATTCTCCCACATCATACAGAATATCAGTCTCTACTGCGCTTGTTCTACGAAAGTAAACCAGACAGACAGACAGACATGCTATGTTTGACAGCATCATGACACCAAGGAATGCTGAATGAAAACGTGGGCTGGTACTGCATTCGCATGGAGTGCAGGAGTGTGAAAACACAACGTATTTACTTACTGCCAGCTATTAAATTAACAAGCACTGTTCACGGCTTTGCATGCCTCCAACTGCTGTGTGGTATTATAAACTGTACATAACATGTGTTTTGCTGAGTGCATTAATGACCGACAGGGAACACAGTGACGAACCTCTCCTGCAGTAGTAATAAAGCTTGTAGTTTGTTATATTCTGTTAGACCTGCTGTGAGATGGTGGTGTGTGGTGTGTGGTTTGCACTGTAGTGCATGTGTTGACTAAATGAAATAAATTGCTAGGATTAAAGTAGTTTGAGTGAGGCTGGTTTCCTCAGGTGCAGTCTAAGCAGGCTGATTCCTTGTTACTGTCAAAACTCTCACCAGCTGTTCCATCTGTATCCACACATGTAGCTCCTCTAAATGCAAAGGAGGAAGTGAGCAATTTAACAAAAATGAAAAACAAAACGCAGTCAAATTATGCTTGGTGGTAAATGACTATTGAGCACTGATGAAATGTGCGATTGTGAAAATTCCTGGTATATTTTGTTCATGATGCTCATGTTGCACAAGTTCATGATGGGGGTGTGACACAAAAAACAAGTCATAAAGACTCTCAGCTAATTAACAACAAAAAATAAAAGTAACAAACAACACACTTATGGTACCTGAAAAAAACGCCTTTCTCTGGAACTGGCTGTGTCAGAGAGGATAGATTAGGAGCAGGAAGTGTCAGCCAGTCGCAAGAGTGCTGTGATACACAGGCAGCAGGGGGGTAGGTGGGGACTGGGAGGTGAGGACAGCAGTCCCAAAACACACACACACACACACACACACATACACACACACACACACACACACACACACACAGATCCCACTTCATAGCTTGAGATTACCTGACGGGATGCCTTGTTCCCTAACATCCCTGAAACCCCCAGGGGTAGACGACTGCAGTGGCGATGGAGGGAAGATCATTGATCACCAATGTATGAAAGCGAGGGTGAAGTGAGGAGATAAGGATCATCTGGAGAACATCTGCCAGGTGGATCCCTGACAATATTCCATCTCATTGTGCTTTACAATGTCTCAGACATTCCCAGCCTCATTCCACTGCAGACCAGAGACTGTATCTGGGCAAATGAAACATCTTATCTTCGAGTAGATGTGTCTGTTTATTGCTCATGTGTTTGTTGTTATTGGCTTGTGATGATGCACAGTTAACCATTCTCTGACATCAGGGGGTGTTTGATATTCTCCCAAAGAATGTGAGTTCTCAGATGTAAATCACAGATACTTGTTGGTAATCACCCTATCACTAAACCTCATGTGTCATGCATAAACTGAGCCAAGAGGGCAGGAGATTAGGGGGTTACAAGCTCTTGGGCTGTGACCATAAAAATTAGGAGTGACCACAGTAAGGTGTTAGTGTGTGGCAGACGGGCGTCTTGAAACAGAAGGTATTTTGTTTGAAAGTATACGGGCAGGGCTCCTGCGGGTCTCAAAAGCGCCACTGCTAATTTGCGACCCTTGGTCCAAACACAGCATCTGTTTCAATTCTATCTCAGCCCCTCCTGCTGAGCCAAGCCCCTCCCCCCCACTGGATAATGACATCACTCCCCTGGGCGGGTCGCTCTACCTGACTGCCCCATCACCATTGCCACAGAAGGGGAGGGTAGGGCAGAGTAATTGAGAGACGAAGGCCAGGCCCACATTAAGCCAGGCCTGCTCGGTGGCAGACTTTGTTAGGCACATCACAAGCTCCTGCGAGTCAACGCTCTTTGAACTGGTCAGGACGGTCACCAGATGTGGTTCCCCCTTCCCCCACTCTGACTTTATTGTGTTTTATCTCTCTCGGCTGCTGTGCTCAAAGCCAGAAGCCCTGCATATAATTCAGTGAGCCAGACACATTCATCTTATCCACCGGCGCACGCTGACTCAGAAGAGTTTGTTACTCATTTCCATGCCGACGGGCCTTATCTCTGGGAGTCTGCTGGAGGGTTTGGTCACTGCCAGGAGTTTGAGGCGAGCGCATCTGTAGCGATGATTCAGAATTCATCCCACACCCCCATCTGTCCAGTACTGAGCAGGAAGCTGTGCCCCCTGCCTCCAGAGCGGGCTGGGATAGGAGCTCCTCCACACTGCCCTTGTTTTGCACCCACGTTCAGCCCAGCCTGCTCTGGGACAGAGTCCACTCAGGCGGATATTACTAATCCCGGGAGCCAATGTCATCAGCGACCCACTCTCCCTTACTGAATAATCCCTTCAGAGTTTATCAGGTTCAAAAGGGTAGTCGTGGGAGCCCTGCTGAGCGGTCCCTTGCGTATCCTATTGGCAGTCGACAGGCATCCCCAGAGACGACCCTTGAGGATCCCTGTGGGGACTCACCAACCCCCCATCCGCATCGTCAGCTGCGTCACTTACTCCCATCATCTGGGGAACCCCCTCCTGGGGCAATGCTATAGGGCACGCTCCCACACACCCTCGCCTCCCCCTGGGCCAGCGCGTCGACGGAGATCTGCCCATCCGCCCGCCAAGCTGACACACACAGCTGACCTCCACACATCTGGTTCCCCTCAAACCGCAGGGACGACCCTCTGATGTGGTGCTGGGCGCCCTTACTCACATGTAGGGTCAGATCCGAGACTCATCCCTGTGCCCCCCAGGACTCCCATGTTCATCTCGCTTTTTTGCCTCAGGGAAATGCAGTCTGTGTCAGACACGTCCGACACGTCCAACGTGCTTTTCCCTGAACTCTCCTAAAGGTTCTCCTTTGGGACAGAAATGCCTTCCTTATTCTCTACACACTAACACCATTCTCAAAGTTTAAGTATGATTATAGGAAAGCAGTGTGGCATAGTGGTAAGGAGCACGGCTCATAACTGAAAGGTTGCTGGTTCAATGCCCTGCTGGGCACTGCTGCTGTACTCTTGGGTAAGGTTCTTAAACCACAATTGGTTCAGTAGCCAGCTGTACAGTTATTCTGCTAAATGACAATAATGTAATATAGTGTAACAACTCTGCCATAATTTCCCCTGACAAGCACCATTGTGTGTTGAAATTGAAGATAATAAGAACATCACAGACTAATGTGTTCACTTACTGCTTGTTCATATGTCTTCAACAAAGCTGTGAAAGGAACACAATATGAATGACATAACACTCTAAGGCCCTGTCCACATGTATATGGGTATTTTTAAAAACACAGCTTTTTCTATGCGTTTTGGCCTTTCGTCCACAGGCAAACAGCGTTTTAGGTCACTGAAAACGGATCTTTTGCAAAACGCCTTCCAGGGTGAAGATTTTCAGAAACTTCGTTTTCAGTGTTCATGTGTAGACAGGGAAAACAGAGTTTTTGGCTTGTGACATCAGAGTGTGCGCCGTAATAACTTTTTTTTCAGGCTTCTGATTGGCCAACATGGCTTTACAGTTAGGGTTATATCGTCGCTTGTTGGTTTAGCATGCACTCGACAGCGTGTGTTTGCGTTTTCATTTTTTTAAAGATTTTTTTAAGAACAAAAGGAGGAAAATCCCCGTTTTCAAAAATACCCGTGTACATATGGACATGGCCTAAGACACAATAATAAGCCCCAAGTGCAAACACAATATATGCTCAGTGTTGACTGTTATAATGTAGGTAGTCAATAAAATGCAAAAAGTCCATAAAATGCAAAAAATAAGGAAGTCAATTTAGATATCGCGCACAGACAGTGCACAAAGCTATCCAGTAGGAGGGGCCGTGCTCCACAGGTTGACTGTGATGTCACAGTCACATGATGAGGTGGAGCAGAACAGTTTACCCACAGTCTCCAGGCTATGTAATTCCTGAGCGATGAGGCAGACACATCTGTACAATCTCATTGGACCAGCATGGCACTGCTGTTTATTATGCCAACGGACTCTTATTTACAGAAATCTCATTCTCAGCCTATCATTTATAGGGGACTGCAGCGTAAGATGGATGTGAGAGGAAACCTTGGGGATGTGTACCAGAAGTTGACAACCAAGGGATCTTCGGCAGATCCATATCTGATGATCAGTGATAAACTAACTCCGGTCAGGAGACTGCACCCAGGGGACCTGCAGTAGGCCAACGTGCGCACGCAGACATATCCTGGGCTCAGAGTGTCCCCTTCAACGGGTGCATGAGATTGACAATCTGTGTGTCACGTGATGTGAGAATGCCGTCTGAAAGGGAGGAGCTGCACAGGGTGACAGACAGGGACACGCCCCACCCAGCCCCGCCCAGCTCCACCATGCCAGCGCCACCTCCAGCCTTGTGACGCTCTGCAACGGTAGAGCTTGGGGAGCTGAGAGCTGGCGTGGTTCCAGAGGAATCCCGCTGCAGCAGCGGACAGTGGCCTGGTGCGCAGGTGAAGGGGGGGAGCAACCTTCACTTCCAGCTGCTGTCCACATGGGGGCACTCATTCAACCCAAGGATGTCATATCACCAATGCTCACTGCAAACTCTTCGCTCTTCATTGTATGGTACTGCGTCCTCATGTACTGGGTAAATGCGTGTGTGCACATTAGTAGGCTAATGTTAATATATAAATATGAGCAAATTACCGAAGTTAAGTCTTCAACATCAACACCAGGGCTTTTCATGGTTTACCACCCTCCTGAAACTATTTGTAACAGTCCCTCATATATGCCAGATCTTATAGAAAAAAATGAATCGATCAGGTATTATTTTGCTTGATTTGCTAACAACAGGATTTTAATAATGATATAAAGACTGACTCTTCATTATAGCCACTCCTATAAATGTGTGTCATTGGACACTCAACATCTATGCTATTATTGATTAGGAGATAAGACAGCAACCCTCTGTTTTCACGAACAGGGCAAAGACATTCAGCTCTGAAGAGTTCCTGTGAGGGCCTATCTCTGTCATCCTCTACTTGTGGGGAACTTTTGAGTCTCACTGTTGGCTTCACCAGAGTCTATTTGCATTTAGACACCCTGTTTGCTTTCTGCTGTGAATGCTCCAGTGATCATCACTTAAAGGATTGTTATAGTCGTTGCATTAAAAAATTACTGGTTTTCCATATAATTATCATGATCTAATAAGAACCTATTTAATTTAAAAAAATCTTTAGTATGATCACATAAACCCTAGGTAAAGTGTGTAGTTGCATGCATCAAGCACACACCAAGGCAAAAACCTCATAGTAATGATTCACAAATGTTTGGCGCTTACCCTTGGTTTATTTTTTCCACAAAATTATAGGTACCTTATGATATCCAACAGTGTAAGTTGGTATAACATTGTCTGATGTTTATGAAAAGCTACTAGCAGGTAAAGGCACACCTTCAGGAGCTTCTCTGACAAGCTTCACTGAACCGACATCAGCAGTGCTCAGAGCCATCCCTCTTCAAGTACAGTACATAAATCAAGTGACATACAGAAGAACCTTGGGGTTAGGGTTAGGATGACGTAACATTTCGATAATCTGAAGGTCCTCTGAGGTCGATGGTGGTACTGATATTTCCAAAAACAAAAACGTCAAAAAACGGACTGCAGAAAAGTTAAGCAGGAAAAAATCAGGGGAAAAAAAGATAATGAAATATTTGACACAGGAGTTTCCTGTTGTAGAAAGCATTGAAAGTGTGGTCCCCTATTTCAACACAGCTCTTGGCAAGCCCTTTGGTTTTCACCTCTTGTTAGCATAATACACTAAATCACTTCTGGTCTTAGTTGTTATAACCTCACGTTTAACCATCTGCCATTGCATGCAATCAAACCATCTGTTTAAGGTCAAGAGGAATTATGAAATGTATGCAATATTGACCCAGTGTGGTGAGGTTGCATGCTCTGGTCTCCCAAGCTAATAAGCAACATGAAACTTTGCAAGAATGTGAGTTATTTTCCTGATCCAATTTCGAGTAGCAATGCATGTCAGAAGACATTAAATTAAAGTGCTGTTCATCATTAGAGCAGCTAAAGGTTTGCACTAATGTGACTGATGACATTAGTATTAATGAAGTTGTGCAACAGTAACTCGTTTAGTAAGCGGGGTACAACACAGTTGTACCAGGAGTTTAAACTTCAAAAGGCTTTGCCCCAAGCACAGAGAAAAAAGCAACAATCCATGACTCTCAGCACATAAACAAAGTAACTACAGTAAACTGACAAATATGGCCTGTAACGTTTTTCTCAGAAACCTGCCCACAGTTCATAATAATAATTTGTAGCCCATCTTCAGAGGTCTTGAATCTAAGCCAACTGGGGAACTGTGTACACAAGCTCAACACTCGTAAAAAATGACATCACAGTCCGTTTGCTGTGGACTTGGACCATTTCTTAGTGTTGCTCAATCCAATCCCAGATTTCATGGAATAAGTTAATATTATTTGCATACTGAGAGAAGGACTGTTACACAATTAGTCTGTTTAAAAAACAAACAAACTAAAGCAGTTATGAGACTGGGATCATTATTTTGCATACCCAAAACACTGGTTTTATGTAATTACAGAAATTAGATTGATGTGTCCAGTTACTTTCCACTGCATGTTTTTGCTCTCAAATTAAAAACTGTTGTGGGCAACAAAAATGGCACAACAGTGGTAATCTTGGTTAGACTGTGAGCACTAGCATGTACAACAGCATCTCCCATGGTAAAGCACAAAGCAAAGCAAATAGGAGCCGTACGAGTACTGCATTTCCCTAACACCTAGCCACACTTCATATGAAACACAGAGCTCTGCAAGCCATTCAAAATGCAAAACTGTCCTGCAAGTGCTGCCAAGCAATAATTTGAGCTTTCTGGCAGCTACATTCATCCCAGTTGAGAGGAGTGCAGATCCATTCAGGTTTCTGAGATATGGGGTCTGAGCTGGGGGGTGGGGGATGGGGGTGAGAGAAGGGGTGGGGGGCACCCATTTTGCAATACTCCTGGCCCAAAATCAGAAACCTGAAATAGCCTGGTTTGTGTTTTCTGTTTCATCAATCTGGTTTTGCTCTGTGTTTGTGTTTCTTTTGTCCCTGCGAGTGGAGGGCACATTCTCCGTGCCTACTACAGCCTCCATGCCTGGTACCTTGCTGGGCTCAAATCACATTATGGGTGTTCTCTTTTATATGGCTTATTTGTCACTTCCATTATTCCACAAGAGATAGCTTCTGAGGAAAACACAGCGGGGAAGTAATTTAGTGTTGCACAGCATTGTCAAACTGTTTTCAAGCAAATCTCATGCTGCTCTGACAAACCGTCCCACTTCAGTTCTTCGTTACGTATCATTCCAAACACAATTAGAAGTATAACATTAGTTCCCCAGTGGACTATTAAACTTTGCTGTTCTCAGTGGCCCCAATACCTGGAATTGTAGTGAAATCCACGATCAGTTTCATTTTTACAATAAAACCTCTGTGGAAAAGGCATTCTCTCCCTCCTCACCGTGACAGCATTACATGCAAATGAAACATAACTCTAAATGTATTTGATAACAAACATGTGCTTAGCTTTGGAGGGGCATTATTGCTGCTTTCTTTTACATTTGATTAATGACTGATGGGTAAAACTGTTGCAGTGGGATACTAACCCTGAGCCATTCGCTGGTTTGCAGCCAGTTTGGACGAAAGTGTGGGGTTACTACAGAACGCCTTTGTGCTGGGGGAAAAAGCAGCAACCCTTTGATTGAATTTCAATGAAGTGGTGTTAAAACAATACAGTCAAATTTGTGGTTGAAAACAAAATGAAACTAGGAAGAAACACATGCCACAACCAAGGATACATGTAACACAAATGTATATTTTGGAAATTTAAATTTAAGAAGTGAAAATCTCTTATGAGATGTGTGCATGCATGCGTGCGTGTGTGTGTGTGTGTGTGTGTTTGTAAGAAAGATCTAAAGCAAAGAACTGAGGCAACTTTCATCATTTACCAGTGATTACCAGCCACAATATGTTCTGAAAACTACAG